GCTGTCTATCAAGACATCCAGCTGCTTTTCTGCAAAGTTGCAACTGGCCAGCCAGTGCGCATTTTGTGTTATTTTGCGGGAATTTTGTATTCCAGATGCAAGACTTTACACTTACTTCTGCTGAATGTCATGAGGTTCTTGCTGGCCCATTCATTCAGCTTGCTGGGATCCTTCTGAGAGGCACTCCCACTCATGACACATCATGCCCAAGGCCCAGAGTCATCCTGCCTTCCTGCTTTAGGCACAATCCAGAAGCTTCCAGAACATAAACTGGCAAGCATGCAAACAGAGCCGTCAGCACTGGAGGGATTCCTGCTGCAGCCACAGCCGCTCGCGCTGCTGCAGGGAGTCGGGCTCCGGGTGTCCCTCCAGCAGCGGGGAGTGCTTGTGCCCTCCCGGGCTGAGGACGCATCCTGCCCCCCCTTGTCCCTGGCTTCTGCCACAGCAGGCAACTGGCCAGGGATGGTCCCCAGCTGCGCAGCAGCTCTTGGGGAAACCAGGCTGGCAGCAGCGTGGCACAGGGGGACCAGCCCCCCCCCGAACCTGCTCCGCCTGGCAGCTGGAGGGCAGGGAGGCCGCAGGGCAGGAGTGATGGATGGCTCAGCCCCACAGCTGCCGGAGAAAGGATGGAGGGTGCTGCTGAGACGCTCACAGGTACTTTGAGGAACCTAAAAACCGACAGGTCGCCCCATCCCCAGGGAGCCCCAAAATTGGGGACAAGGGGCAGAGCTGCAGGAAGGACACGGGGTGCAGTACCGGGGCAGAGCAGGACAGGCAACGGGGCAGCATGTCAGTGCCCGCTGCAGTGCTCCAGCCTGTGCAGCTGGGGAAACTGGGAAGGGCCCTGAGCTTGCTGGGAGGATGAGAGGGTGCAGGCGGAGAGAGGGAGGTTTATTGGCATGGCAGGCACGCTCCCCGCAGAGAGGGCTGCGATTCCCGGTGGGGCGCGGAGCGGAGCACCCTCAGGGAGCGATGCTGCCAGGCTCTCGGTGTAAAAAGTCAGTTCCAGGGGCTGGAGAAAGAACAGTCACACAGCGCTTCCTCACTCTTCCTCCTCCTCTTCCTCCTCCTCCAGAGCAATGGGCTGGCGAGCAGCCGGCCCCGCGCCACCGCGCTGGATGGAGACGATGCCGCTCAGGAAGGCGTAGCCCAGCATGGCCACCAGTCCCACCAGCACCGACAGCACCTGGTTGCGCCGTTTGTGGGGGTCCTCCTCCGCCTCGCCGCCGTCGGCACCCGCAGCCCGCGGGGCGCTGGCTGGGGGCTCCCCTGGGGGGGCAGAGTAGGGGTGTGGGAGAGTGCACGGGTCACCCCGAGCCCGTGGGGTGAGGTGGGGGGGACGCATCTCACCTCCGTCCCAGGGGAAGTAGAGGCTGAGGATGGAGGAGCAGTAGTTGCAGAGGTTCTGCAGGGACTTGAGGTGCTGCTGCAGTTTCCCGTTGGGCAGCTTTGCCTTCAGGAGCGGCGCCAGGCGGCTGAAGACGAAGGCGTCGAGGGAGGCCGGCCTGGGGCAGAGACCTGTGACTGGGTCACCGGCCCTCCCGCCTCTTCCTACCAACCCCACCCAAAGCCACCGGGACACGTCAGCCACCCCCAGCACCCCAGGGGATGGCAAGCGGCTCCTCCTCCTCCTCCTCGGGAGGGGGCTGCTTCCAGCCCCCGAGGTGAGGATGGGGGGAGCGGGATGATCCCATCCCTGAGCAGCTCTGTTGGCTCTAACAGGGGACAGGGACAGAGATGCCGAGGCCAGTGGCAGCTCCCGCAGCCTTAACGCCTGCCCCCTCCCGAGATCCCTGTCCCCCACGAGCCCGTCCAACCCCCAGAGCGATACGTGTGGGCTGCGGCTTCCCCTGGCGTCCTGCCTGGGCACAGAGGGGGGGGGCTCTCAGGCCCCAGAGCATCTTTCTGCTACGGACACCTACGAGTCTCCGAAGAAAAACTTCTGGGAGCCGAGGCGCTGGGACAGGAGTGTCAGACATTCCCGAGCATCCCGGTAGAGCTGGGGAAGGAGGACAGAGGGTTGGCACTCACGGTGCTAAGGGGAAGTGGGTGCTCAGCCAGGGTTAACCCTGCCCCCCCCCTCCATTAAGACTGTGGCCTCGTGAGGGTCCCGCTGGGCACCTGCCGAGGACCTGCCATGCCCAGACCACATCCCCTCACCTCCTTCTCCAGCTTCTCCTCATCCTCCATGTAGCCGTCTCCCCACATAAGCTGCAGCCGCTCCAGGTGCCGCTTGTGCATGCAGTTGGGCAGGAAGAAGTTCAGGGGGAAGGGAACGGTTTCCGCGTACCACTTCCGCGTGTGCTCCACGTAGTTCTTTGTGTCCACCCAGAAAGTGTGGATCTGCAGTGGAGAACAACCAGCAGGCGAGCCGTGGCAGGGCTGGAGCCAGAGCAGCCATTTGCTGCGGCGATGGGCCACGGAGCCCGTGCCCGGCCCAGGACCGGCTGCCCCGGAGACTGCGAGGGGCTGAGGGAGTACCAAGGTCAAGGCCAGACCCCAGCCCTGGCTGCACAACCCGCCGCTGCCACACCAGACCCCTGGCACCCTGATCCCTGCTCCACACCCCCGGGGTTTTGCTGCCTGCACCGTTCTCCTGGCAGGCGGGTGCAGGCCCGAGCCCCCCGGCATCGCTGCAGGGAGCGGATCCGGTCCTCGATGAGGCCACCTCCCCCCCGCGTCCCCCCCGCGACGTTCCCACGGGTGGCTCACCAGCACGGGCAGCAGTTTCTCCTCCAGCAGGGACACGAAGGCCAGCGTGTCCGCCCCTTGCGTAGCCGAGAGGTCGTAGTCGGCGTTATATTTCTGCAGAGCAAACGCAACGGGCGCGATCTGGCGAATCCTGCCCGTGGCTCTTGGGTGACCGTGACAAAGCCCCCCTCCCTCCCGGGG